GGCTTAATCATATAGGAAAGACACACCATCCCTGCTAAAAATTGTATAAACACATTTAGAATGGCTCTGGTCTGTTTCTTTTCTTTCTTTTTGCCAGTCCTGGGGCTTGAACTCAGGGCCTAGGAACTGTCCCTGAGCTTCTTTTGCTCAAGGCTAGCATTACTTCCGACTTTTTCTGTTTATGTGGTACTGAGGAATCGAATCCAGGGCTTCATGCATGCTAGGTAAGCACTCTACCACTGAGCCACATTCCCAGTCCCTCTGGTTTGTTTCTTCAGGTCTTCTTTAGTTACCTACTGAAAATTTCTTAAGATTCCCTTAAGGGAGCTCTCTACCCCACCCAGACTCAAATTCAAATAATCACCATGGCACTGTTTCACCTAGACCCCATGCTTACACCACACAAAACAAAACCCACCAATGTCCATTTTTCCTGGCATTAAACCTGTTAGGAAGGTCAGAGAAGAAGAAAAAGCAGACTCTGGGATTTTCCCATGTACATGCACAAATAGGTGTTGACAAACCTCCAGAGCACAGTGAAGCTTCTCCATCTGCTGCTGGCTCTCCAAAAGAAAACCCTAGAATCTACTGAATGCCTGGAAAGCTCGGGGAGGCTTCCCACTTATTGGACAGTGATTATTTTGGTAGGAGACAAGGACAGGATCAAACCAAAAAAGGCCGAGACATCTCTGATGGACACCGAAGCCAGAGCTTGCCATCAGAGGTCTCCTTGCACATTTGTAACCCATCAGCCTTCGTATGTGCACATCTTGATTCAATCTCTAATTCCTGCCAAGTACAGATCGACATAGATACACTTAACACAGCAGCACACGATGGACAAATCCTCTCCCTTAGGTTTCTTTTTTATCACATGTCTTTAACCAGTTTAAATTCACACTGAAGAAGCCTTGGTCTATATCACGGCATTCTTACTGAGCGCAGATCTGCCTCTGAATGACCCTCAGTACTGGTAGCTATTACCTAGTGCCGAGTTGATATGAAGGGCAGAAGTTGAAATGATATGCCTGGTCAACATGGTGTTTAAACCCGTTGTGCTGCACATGGCTTCAGCTCTGAATACAGCTATAACTCTAGGTCTGTTCTGGTCTGTATGGATGTTTCAGGTATTAAACATTGAGAAAACCTGCAGAGCTCCATCATCCTTTATCTCACATTAGTAATCCTTACCTGTCTGCTGAGCCAGCTGCTATTTTGCTTCCATCAGGTGACCAAGAACATCTCAGGAGATTCTATAATGATGAATAAGCAGGAATCCATTGAACAGTAATGAACCAAAATCCTCCCTGCTAGACTACAATATCACCAACTTTAAATTTCCTAATTAGACTTTTTATTATTCTCCCCAGAAAGATGATCAGCAATTTTGAAGCCCAAAACAGAACACTTTTGTTATTTTATACCACATAAAAACTGTAGAAAATGTTTAATATAGCCAGGCGCTGGTGGCTCATGCCTATAATCCTAGCTACTTAGAAGGCTGAGATCTGAGATCACGGTTCAAAGCCAGCCCAAGCCAGAAAGTTCGTGAGACTCATCTCCAATTAACCACCAGAAAACCTGAAGTGGTGCTGTGGCTCAAGCGGTAGATCACTCACTTTGAGCTGAAGAGCGCAGGGACAGTGCCCAAGCCCAGAGTTCAAGCACTACAACCGAAAAAAAAAAAAAAAAAGAAAAAAGAAAAAGAAAAGAAAATGCTTAATTTACAGCTATTAAGATTAGACCCGGCAACAAAATTTTTTTCTACCTATAAATGGAGGCTTCTGTTTGCTCCATTTATTGTGATTCTCGTTCAATTGTTTTTATTGTTTTGCTTAAATTTTTCCTGTTTAAGAAAAATAAAACCAAACCCATCAAAAAAATTTGATTTATAAAGTAAAACAATCTCAATGAACTCTCAAAAGAAAAATATTCCTCTCTTAACACAGCTGACATGGGAACTTAAGGGTCTGAAACACATTTCTGTCTCTCAGAACTTAGGATCCAGAGTGATTACTAAGGGGAGGGAGGTATTCTCAGGGTTCTAACTGCTGATTATTGGGAGAAGGAGGGAGACCATTTGATTAACAACACTGTGAGTCTGGATCTCATACAGAAAGTAGATCTAACATGGTTGAGGTTCACTAGGAATAGAAGGCTAAGAGAGTTCTGTGGAGTGTGGACTGTAGTCAGCAGGCCTCAGTCTGAGTGCTGGTTCCACTGCTAGCTAGCTATGTGACTGCCTTTTTAATATGCCTCTATTAGTTTTATTTTTGGCAAGAACAGTTCTGAACTATGCATGGTGGCACATACCTATAATCACAGCACATATGAGACTGGATTAGATTAGACTAGATTAGATTGCCAGTTCCAGGACATTTTTAGGCTACATAGGAGAAGTCTCAAAAACAAAAGAAGAGTAGATTTGATGAAGAATTACTAGAATCTAGCCTATTCTTAGCAGAGCAACCACTATCTGTCATTAGCATTATCTTGTATGTTGCTCTGAATCAAATGGACAGTAAAACCTATGCTATGCAGCAGAGTGCTGTAATCCTAGTGACTCAGGAAGCTAAGATTTGAAGATCACAGTTCAGTTAGCCCAGGCAGTAAAGGCTATGAGACTCTTAGCTCCAATTAACCACCAAAAAAGATGGCAATGAAGCTGTCGTTTAAATAGTACAATGATATCCTTGAGCAGAAAAGCTCAGAGACAGTGCCCAGACCCTGAGTTCAAGACTCATTATTGGTATAAAACAAAACAAAAAACCCCAAAACCCCCTTTGTCGTGCAGCACTTACCTTTTCAAAGTTGTGTACATTTCCTTGAAATATCTTCACACACCTCTCTTTTGGGGCAAAGGGCCGCACATCCCAGACACGCACTGAAAAGCAAATCCATAACAATCGACTCACCAAAACATTTAGTAGGCAGAGGCCTCTTGAAAACTAAAAACAGTATCATGTCAATAACAAATGCTAATTTTTGTGTAGAGGAGGTCCAGCTTTACTTTTTCTAGTAGTAAAGCCCTGTTAACTGGGGCTAAGAAAACAAAGGAAAGCTGAGGGAGTAGGAAGGAGAAATTAAAAATGTATCATTGTGAGTTTCCAACACAATAAATATGGATATAACAATGATTTTTTAAAAAGTGGGCAGGTGCTTATGATAGGCTCACAACTGTAATTTGAGCTACTTAGGAGGCTGAGATCTGAGGAATGTGGTTTGAAGCAAGTCCAGGCAGGAAAGATTGTGAGATTCTTATCTCCAATTAACCACCAGAAAACTGGAAGTAGTACTGTGGCTCAAAGTGGTGGAGAGCTATCCTTGAGCAAAAGAGTTCAGGGATAAGGCCTTGAGTTTGAGCCCCAGGATCAATACTCCACCTCCACCTCCCCTCTCCCCCCCCCAAAAAAAAAACAAAAACAAAAAAGTGCCAGGCCTATACCTGTAATCCTACCTACTTGGGAGGCTAGGAATTGGAAGGATCATGGTTCTAGGTCAATCAGAGATAAGAGGTAAGAGTTAACAAGATCCCAGTCCAACAAATAAAGCACTGGGCATGGTGGTGTGCACCTGATCCCACTTACTCTGGAAACAAATGGAGGATAGCAGTCCAGGCATGAAAGCAAGACTCTACTCAAAAATAATGAAAGCAAAAAGGACCGGGAGCACAGTTCAAGTGGAAGAAAATATACCTAGAAAGCCCATGGTCCTGAGTTCCAGTGTCAGTACTGCCCAAAACAAAAAGAACAAACAAAACTCCTAAATCCAACTTCTCCCCAAAAGCATGATGTCTTTTGCCAACTCAGTCAAATCTAGCGAAGTTTCCACATGATGATGAAATCTATTAAGTAATACTGACTATTCCTTATATGGACAGCGTAAACTTGAAGGAGGTAAAACAGAGCAAAACACTATTATACCAAGAATCAGGAAACACAAACTTTGCTGTCCTGACATCCTCATTGTCACCTGTTGGGCACTTAGGGCCTTACCCATTTCTAGGCAAGAGCTCTTCTACTGAGCCACATCCTCAGGCCCAGAAAATATGAACTTGGAACCTAATTTTAGCTCTGTTGTATACAGATACAGGTAAACATTGAGATTTTATCTTGGTTTCTGGCTCTGTAAAATTAAGTTAAAAATCATATTTAATAAAATCTTATTTAAAGTATGACTATAGGAGCCAGGAGCTGGTGGCTCACGCCTGTAATCCTAGCTACTCTGGAAGCTGAGATCTGAGGATCACGGTTCAAATCCAGTCTGGGCAGGAAAGTCTGTGAGACTCTTATCTCCAATAAACCACTCAGAAAGCTGGAAGTGGTGCTGTGGCTCAAGTGGTAGAGCACTAGCCTTGAGCTGAAGAGCTGAGGGACATCGTCCAAGCCCAGAGTTCAAGCCCCACAACCAACAATAAAATAAAATAAAGTATGACTAGAGGATGCAAAGAAGTGACTCAAAATAGTAGAGCATCCACCTTGAGCCAAAAAGTTAAGCAACAGCATAAGGTCCTGAGTTTAAGCCCTAGCTTACACTAGCCCTAGCACAGTACTGACACCAAAAACAAACAAAAAACCTCGATAATAAAGTACATAACTATAATAAGTTCTTATTATACTTTAATAGCTATTGAGGGTGTCTCATTGTTTCTCATTAAAGACTGCTAGAATTAGTCAATAGTAAATGCACTGAGCTGAAATGGACCTTAATGGTAAAGTCCAGTCTGCTATAATTTTATTCATGCAGAAACTGATGCCCAGAGAGAAATATTGTGTTCAGTTGTTCAAGGACTACATACCAGTTTTCGGACTAGAGTTCTAGATTCTAGATCATCTTGTCCAGCCCTTTTACCATTACATGTCCTAATTGTCAGGTAGAAGCTATGAAGCTGTGAGCCATCTCTGGCCCTTTCCTTGACTTTCATTTATCAATACATTTCCCCCTCTTCTTTTTGTGGTTCTGGGGATGGAACCCAGTGCTACCTGCATGCTGGGCAAATTATCTAACACTGGGATACCTCAAGTCCCCAGCAGACATATTTAATAACCAATGCCCACTTTCCTCAGAGACTGGGCACCAGGACAGCTGTGTTCTCCACTGTTTACCTGTATTGTCCATGGCATTGGACAAGAGGTAAGAACCTTCAGAACTTAAACTCAGGCCAGTCACTGAATCTGCATGGCCTCTCATGGTGTAGGTTAGCTTGTTCTGGCGTAGGTCCCAGACCTGTAAAACGGAAGTATGCTTAGAAATTAAATTGAGAACAGAGAAAAAGAATTCTCCACTCTGTTGCCTGCAGAAACTGGAAGCCCCCCACCCCTTTTTTGCTGGTCCTGGGGCTTGAACTCAGGGCCTGGGCACTGTTCCTGAGCTTCTTTTGCTTAAAGCTAGCACTTCTACCACTTGAGCTATAGTGCCACTTCCAGCCTTTTCAGTGTATGTGGTACTGGGGAATTGAACCCAGGGCTTCATGCATGCTAGGCAAACATTCTACCACTAAGCCACAGTCCCAGTCCTGGATCAAATATTACCTTACCACAGAATACAGGATTTCTGTGAGAAGGACGAAGTTCTTTGCTTTCTGAAAAGGTTGTCAAAATGACCATGTTTGATTAGACCAATATAAACCAATAAATATCAAATACTAATTAAAGTATAACAAGAAATTATAGAGTATTTCAAGTCAGAACAAAATGCATTAATTAGGCCACTAAAGACAAAATAATTAGCATTTAAAGGGTTTAAACTGTGATTCTTGGTCTCAGTGGTAGAGCGCTTGCCTTGCATGCCTGAGGCCCTGGGTTCGATTCCTCAGCACCACATAAGCAAAAAGAAAAAAAAAAGCCAGAAGTGGCGCTGTGGCCCCAGTGGTAGAATGCTAGCCTTGAGCTGAAGAGCTGAGGGACAGCGCCCAGGCCCAGATTTCAGGCCCCACATCCGGACCCAAAAAATAAAAAATAAAAAGAAATACATTGAGATATGAGGGTAGACAGTCACAAATGGATTCACTGCTATCTCATTAGACCAACACAGTTTTTACAAAAAAGCTTTTAAATGTCTTTTGTCAGGGGATGAAAAGCACCTTGCTTTTCCCATTTAGTCGCCCGGGCACTACATACTTCAAACTAACTGGTTAGCCCTTGATGACATTTATATGGGCTGCAATGTAACCTTGGATGAGGAAGTCAATTGGAACAGGAGTAAAAGAAAGTTAAGTTTCAAGTTACTATACTCTACTACAATGTCACACGTTAAAGATTAAATTTTTTTTTTTTTGTAGGTCTTGGAGCCTGAACTCTAGGCCTGGGCGCTGTCCCTGAGCTCTTCAGCTCAAGGCCAGAGGTCTACCACTTGAGCCACAGCGCCACTTCTTGCCTTTCCTGTTTATGTGGTGCTAAGGAATTGAATCCAGGGCCTCATGCATGCAAGAGAAGCACTCTACTGCTGAGCCACCTTCCCAGCTCCAACATTGTAACTTTTTTTTTCGTCAGTCATGAGGCTTGAACTCAGGGCCTGGGCACTGTCCCTGATCTTCTTTTGCTCAAGGCTAGCACTCTACCACTTGAGCCACAGTGCCACTTCCTCATTTTTTTTTTTTGTAGTGGTGGCCCTGTCTCCTCCCGGCATCTCTCATCTCACCTAAAGATTCACTTTTGTGAACATACACAGGTGAAAGGGAATACAATATAAATGCCAACTGTACCTTAATATCGTTGTCTATTCCTCCAGAGATAATCTGATCACTTGTGTCATTGAAGGTCACTGCTAACACCTGGTATGTGTTCTGAAATGTCTGGATAGCTGCTTTCTTCCGGATGTCCCAAAGCTGAAACAGAAGAACAGGTAATCTATCAGTAACATCACTTTAAGAATATATCCCTACATTTATGGACTTTGTGGACACATCCAAAACTTTTTGGATATCCCAGTAAAACATGGTAGGAGGTGACTACAACTCAATCAATGTATTTGCAGCTTGGTGAAAAAAATAATTTTAGCACTTTTTTTTTTTTTAAAGTACTGGGATTTGACTAAGGGTTCTGTGCTTGCTAGGCAGGTGCTCTTCTGAGTTGCTTATCTTTTTTTTTTTTAAAGTTTGTCAGTCATGGGGCTTAAACTCAAGGCCTGGGTGCTGTCCCTGAGCTCTTTCACTCAAGGCTACTGCTTTACCACTTTGAGCCATAGCACCACTTCTGGTTTTCGAGTGGTTAACTGAGAGCTTAGAGTCTCATGGAAACTTTTCTGCCCCAGTTGGCTTTGAATCCTGATCCTTAAATCTCAGTCTCCTGAGTACCTAGGACTACAGGCATAAGCCAGAGGCACCTGGTTTCATTTCTTTATTTTTATGCATACATATTAAGCAATCTGACCATATCCATCCTCATTCACCCACTTAATGCTTTCTTCCAAGAGTCAATTTTATTCTCCAGTCTTTTTTTTTTTTTTTTGCCAGTCCTGGGACTTGAACTCAGGGCCTGGGCACTGTCCCTGAGCTTCTTTTGCTCAAGGCTAACACTCTACCACCTGAGCCACAGTGCCATTTCCAGCTTCCTCCATCCCCTTTTTTCTGTTTATGTGGTAATGAGGAACCAAACCCAGGGCTTCATGCATGCTAGGCAAGCACTCTACAACTAAGCCATATTCCCATCCCTCCCCACCCCCCATTTTTAAACCATAATGCTATGCAGACCAGCTGCCCTTGAACTGAGTAGTAGGATGTTACTACTTCAGTTTCTTAAGTTTGAGGGCTGGTATTATAGGCATTTGTCACTACAATCTGTACTTCAGTATTCTCAATAGGTTTTTCAGGTGGGTCTCTATATAGACAGGTTGGAAAATGCGGGACTAAATGCTCTTTTATGCTCCCATCTTGGGTTACTGAACCCATTTACTGAGTATTTTTCTATCTTGTGAGACATTTATATCAGTTCTAAGATTAAGAAATGAAAGGTCAGAAAAGTTAACTGCCAGGCACTGGTAGCTCATGTCTGTAATCCTAGCTACTAAGCAGGGTGAGATCTGAGGATCACAGTTTAAAGCCAGCCCGAGCAGGAAAGTCTGTGAGACTCTTATCTCCAATTAACCACAGAAAACCAGAAGTGGCACTGTGGCTCAAGTGGTAGAGCACTAGCCTTGAGATGAAAGAGCTGAGGGACAGTGTCCAGGCCCAGAGTTCAGGCCCCATGACCAACCAAAAAAAAAAAAATTAACTGCTCAAGGCCATACCGCTAAAAGCTAAGCCAAGAATTAAACCTATTTATCCCAAGCAGCAATTTATTCTACAGTGGTAGTATTATTTTATCTTTTTTGGGGTCCAGTCGTGGGGCCTGAACTCTGGGTCTGGGCGCTGTCCCTCAGCTCTTCAGCTCAAGGCTAGCGCTCTACCACTCGAGCCACAGCGCCACTTCCAGCTTTTTTCTTTTTGCTTATGTGGTGCTGAGGAATCGAACCTAGGGCCTCAGGCATGCATGGCAAGCGCTCTATCACTGAGCCACCTTCCCAGCCCCTACGGTGGTAGTATTATTTTAAGTGGGGAAAAATCTTCAAGTTTTGGAAACAACTACTGAAACTAAGCTGTAAAAAGAGGAGGTACCAGCTCAGGTGGAAGAGCAAGGCCAGGGTCCCATTCTGTCACCTCCACCTGCAACCCAGATGACACCTACCTTCACTGTACCATCGTCACTGCCAGTGCAGACAAGCTGGGGGCCCCTCCTGGCTGGGTAACAGGAATTCACAAAGGAAGTGTGTCCCTTCAGCCTTTTGACCCTCTCGCCTGTTTCACTGTCCCACACTGCCACAGTTTTATCTGTGGATGCTGAGAAGAGCATACTGGAAGGTAAGAGGAACAACACAAAAGAGGTAAAGTGAATATCAACTGAAACAATCTATCTTTTCCACTTACCACACTGTGCCAAGTTCTTCCAGATCACTCAATACTATGCTCTGCCAGCTTAGCACCTGGCGCTGGAATGTCTCAGCCTACCTATGGAAATCCTACCCACATTCTAGATTGGGGGGGTACGGTTGAGTGACCCCAATTTCCATGACACATCACATATCTAATATAGTAGTTTTTCTCAATCCTTTATTGTTCTGTGACAGCTAACACTTGATGTAAGTACATCCTCTCACTTGGTAATGTTTAAACACCCCCTGCTGTGGTAGAAATGAGACAAGACTGGGACCATTATGGATCAATAAACTAACTCCAGTACTAATAAACTAATATACAATACACTAATCTAGTACACTAATTCCAATCCTTTGTCTAAACTCAAAAGTTTTACTTCATGTCAAAGAATGGTTTTTCTTTTTTTTTTTTTTTTGAGGTATAGAGGTCTGAACTCAGGGCTTTACACTTGCTAGCCAGGTACTCTACCACTTGAGCCAAGTTCCCAGGTAGGATCTCTTGGTTTTGCTTAAGCCAGTTTGGAACTCCATCTTCTATCATGCTTACCTCCCCCCTCCCCAACCCCCCTGGTTCCTGGGGCTTGAATTCAGGGACTGGGCACTGTCCCTGAGCTTCAAGGCTAGCACTCTACCACTTGAGCTACAGAGCCACTTGCAGCTTTTTCTGAGTAATTTATTGGTGATAAGAGTCTCACAGCTTTTCTGCCCCATCTGGCTTCAAATTGCGATTCTCAGATCACAGCCTCCTGAGTAGCTAGAATTACAGGTGTGAGCCACTGGCACCTGGTTCCATCTTTTTTGAGATGGGGATCTTGTCAACTTTTGGTCTGGGCTGACCTCAAACAGATTCTTCCAATCTTTTCCTTCCAAGAAGCTGAGATTACAGGAGTGAGCCACTGTTCCTAGCCTCTGAGAATAACTTCTAAGTTACAACTGATTTTATAATGCTTTTTTTCCCCTCGACACAGGGTCTCACTATGTAATTAGGGATAGCCTCAAACTTCTCACCTTACTCCATCATCCTCCCATGAGCTAGGATTATATAGGCGTGTATGACCATGCCAGCTATACATGCTTTCTTTTTTTGTGTGACAGTCCTGGGGCTTGAACTCAGGGTCTAAGCTTCTACCACTAGAACCACAGCGCCACTCCTAGCCTTTTCTGAGTAGTTTTATTGGAGGTAAGAATCTTACGAACTTTCCTGCCTGGGCTGGCTTAGAACTGTGATCCTCAGATCTCAGCCTCTTGAATAGTTAGTATTACAGGCATGAGCCACTAGCACCCAGCTTTCCTTTTCCTTTCTTCCTTCTTTCTTCCTCTTTTTTTCCAGCTCAGGGCTTGAACTCAAGGCCTGGGCACTGTTCCTGACTTCTTTTGCTCAAGACTAGCACTCTAACACTGGAGCCACAGAGCCACTTCTGACCTTTTCTGTGTATGTGGTACTGAGGAATCAAACCCAGGGCTTCATGCATGCTAGGTAAGCACTCTACACTAAGCCACATTCCCAGCCCTAAATGCTTTCTTTACTTAAAATGTAAATAATGCTATCTTCTCTTGATGGAGCACCATAAGATTTTAGAGGTCAGAAATATAAATCTGAAACCAGACATGATATGCATACCTGTGATCCCAGCACTCCAGGAGCTGAGGCAGTAGGACTGAAAAGTCAAGGATAGTTTGGGCAATTTAGCCAGCCCCTGTTTCAAAAAAAATCAAAAAATGTCAGGCATTGGTGGCTTATGCCTATAATCTTAGCTACTCAGGAGGCTGAGATCTAGAGAATCAAGGTTTAAAGCCAATCTGAGCAGAAAAGTCCATAAGACTCCATCTTCAAAATAACTAGCAAAAAACCAGGCGGGAGGTGTGGCTCAAATGGTAGAGCACCGGCAGAGCAAGTAAACAGGTCAAGGTTCTAAGTTCAAAAGCCATTCAGGGGGGGAAAAAAAAAAAAGGACTGGCTCAGTGATAGATTACGTACCTGGTATTTCCAAGGCCTTAGGGTTCAATCTCCAGTATTCAAAGTAAAACAAAACAGGTGAGGTGGCTCATACTTGTAATCCTAGCTACTTGGGAGATGGTAATAGAAAATCTTGATTCAAGGCCAGCCCAGGTAGAAGATTATCAAGACCCCATAGAATCAACATCAGACATAGTCATAATATATGCATGTGATCTCAGCTATGAGGGAGGTTATAGGTAGAAAGATCATGGTCTAAGACTGACCCAGGGCAAAGCTGTAACCCCTCCACCAGAAAAACAAAGCATATAAGAGCTGGGGGAGAGCTGGGAAGGTGGCTCAGTGGTAAAGCGCTTGCCTTGTATGCCTGAGGCCCTGGGTTCGATTCCTCAGCACCACATAAGAAAAAAGCTGGAAGTGGCGCTGTGGCTCAAGTGGTAGAGCGCTAGCCTTGAGCTGAAGACCTGAGGGACAGTGCCCAGGCCCAGAGTTCAGGCCCCCTGACCGGACCCCCCCCAAAAAAAAGAGCTGGGGGAATGGTTTATTTGGTGGGTAGCTGCCTAACAAGAACATGATTCTGAAAAAAAAAAGAACATTATTCTGAGTTCAAATCTCAGTGCCAAAAAGAATACAACAACCAAAAAGAATAAATACAACAACACAGAAAGATGAAATGAAATAATGCTGAGTCTGGGCACCGGTGGCTTACACCTGTAATCCTAGCTACCCAGGAGGCTGACATCTGAGGATCAAAGCCAGCCCAGGCAGGAAAAGCTGTGAGACTCTTTATATCCAATTAACCAGAAAACCAGAAGTGATGCTGTGGCTCAAGTCATATAGTGCTCACCTTGAGCTGAAGAACTGAGGGACAGTGGCCAGAGTTCAAGTCTCATGACTGACCAAAAAAAAAGAGAGAAAGAATGCAAAGAATTAGCATGGTAAATATTGTCATGTACAATGCTCACCTGCCATCCGTGTTATAATGTAGCTCCATCACAGCTCCACTGTGGCCCTTTAATGTGGCATAGTTATCACAGTCACCATAGACATTCCACAACACTGTTAAGGAGACATGATTGAGCATTATTAGAAAAGAAAAGCACAGCGCTGGCCATGGAAAGATTACTTATAAATTACCAGAACAGTAGGGTCATAGGGGAGATCTATCTTTAGTTTTTTGAGGAACCACCAGACCACATTCCAGAGTGTACGTTGTACCAGGTTCCTTTTTCCTTACCCTACATCCCTGCCAACATTTATTGCTCTTTGAATTCTTTTTTTTTTGGCTGGTCATGGGGCCTGAACTCTGGGCCTGGGCACCATCCCTTAGCTCTTCAGCTCAAGGCTAACGTTCTACCACTTGAGCCATGGCGCCACTTCTGGCTTTTTCTGCTTATGTGGTGCTGAGGAATCGAACCCAGGGCCTCATGCACGCAAGGCAAGCGCTCTACCGCTGAGCCACCTTCCCAGCCCCTAATTCGTAATTTTTTAAAAGGTGGATATAATCTGATATTTAAATTTTTACCTTGTAATTAAAAAAATGCTGGTGTTTACTACTATATATGTCCTTTCCTGAGTTCCTAAGCAGACTACAAAATGATAGATTTATGGAAAACCTAGGAGGTCACACCTTAAAGGTCACATGGTAGTCATTTTGTTCTCATTCTGTAAGTACCTATGACATGTGAAGTACTGGAGTAAATGAGTGAACATAGCTATTGGCCTCACTGAGTTTATTTTCCAAATATCAGTATTCCTAATTAGCTGAGAATCTGGTAAGATGTTCAGGTAGGTTATCAAAGTGAATTGCTGCTTTAGGATTCTCCTCCCTTCTCTTGTGCTAGGTGTGGACCAAGAAGAGTGCCTCATATCTTTGGAAATGGAAACGTTCTCTTTGTTCTCATGATTCCCATTAATCTGTTAAACTTACTGCTTGTTATAAATCAGCTCAACATTTGCTTCCATGAAGAACACATACACAGCAATTTCCAAGTAGCAAAATAATTCTGTATTTACCATATCAAGTTCTATATCCAAGTGATTATTTAGGCAGATAACAATTATGCAGATTCAAAAACTGTGTCTTACATATAAGACGGTCAAATCCTGCAGAAGCTAAGGTGGATCCATTGGGGTGAAACTTGCAACAGTAAACTTCTCCTTCATGTCCTGAGAGCAGCATGATAGGGGCTTGAAGGGAGGAACACCTTGGAGGGCCCTAAACAGAAAAGAAATACAAGGTAGAATATAGGTAAAGGAGATTGAAAAGAGAGGGTGGGGAGTACAGTGAGAAGATGTGGCAAATGATGACAGAGTGAATGTCCTGTGAGTTACAGAAGGACAGTTCTGCTCATATACTCTAGTTCTTCATATGATCATCTCCTGGATGTTCCATTATCTGCAAGTTGTGCTAACTTCTCCTTCCTCTCAGTCAGCTCTTGTTCCACAGCCAACTTTTCACTGCTCATTTCTGCTTTTGGATCTTTCTTCTTCAAAGAGTCTTAAGCACTCAATTTCATGTAATATGAAACTTCTTACTATTACCTCCACTGGATTCCTTCACAGAACTTAGCATTATCTGAAATTATCTTCCTGTGTAATTGTTCACATATTTTGTCTGCTCCTCCAGAGAAATGCAGGTCTCTGAATGCAGGGACCTTGCTGTGCCATTCTTCATTCTCACTTTTCTTAGTCTTTGGTTCATTTAATGAATGAATCGGGCTTCCCAACAACTATGTAGAACACCGATTATTTAGCAAAGCAGTTTGCTTTTTCAAGACAGGATCTCATCTTGGTAACTCTGTTTTTTTTATTTGTTTGTTTTGGTTGGTCGTGGGGCTTGAACTCTGGGCCTAGGCCCTGTCCCTGAGCTCTTCAGCTCAAGGCTAGTGCTCTACCACTTGAGCCACAGTGCCACTTCCATCATCTTGGTAAGTCTGGTTGGCCTCAACCTTGTGGTCCTCCTGCCTCAGCATCTTAAGTATTGGTATTACAGGCAGGAACCACTCTGCTCATTTTAGCATATAGTTTTAAATACTAAACCCAGGCTTGGTAATTCACCTAAACCTGGACTGATATTCTTACTTTCCTCATCAATTCAGGCTGACCTAAAAAAATGTTCTGTACTCACCCTCTTGATAACTAGAAATTTAAGTGTCAGTAGAGTCTCCCTATGTTAACCAGGATGGCCTCAAATTCAAGTCTACCTTCTGTGTTAGACTCTTAAGTAGCAAGGCCTAGAGGTAACTGAGGAGGATGTCAGTAGGATTCACTGATAGGCAGATTAAGGAGTTGAGACAGAGAGCACACATATTTCCTTCTTTGAGTCTTAACAGCCTTAGTAGAAGATGTGTGATTGCTTAGGCTGTTAGGGAGATGCATGGAGATTTCACATACACAAGAGTCAATGAAGGTTAGTTGCTGTTAATATAAATGTAGGGAGAAATAACAGGAAAAGCAACTTGTCCACATGCCCAAGGTAAGCCAGTATCATTCATTTCCGGTCTTGCTTCGCCACCTCTCTCCCTCATTCATTCAAATTGTTAATATTTGTTTTACCCTGGATCCCATGAAAATTTAGGATTTTTTTTCAACAAAAAGCTACCATTCGCCATGTCAGTTTTTAAGTACAAGGCCTCTCGATCAATGTCAGCTCTTTCATCATTCTGCAACATCCCTCCTATGCCCACCCCTCTCTTCAATTCTCTTGGTTTCACAGGCTATGTATTGAACCTTATGACTGCATTCTCCCCGAGGTCCTGATACTGAACCCAAGATTTTAAAATAATTCTAATACTACCTCACAGGGCGATCGAAGACTGAAAATGGGCGTTAAACAAGGACACGTAAGAAACAATAGACACTGGAGACTTTCACAGTGCACCTGTTTTAATTTTAGGTACACTTCCGTTCTGTCTCCGCAGTGCAGGATCGGGACCTCCGACCAGCGCTCAGAACAGACCCACGCGCGGAGGGCGAGGGACACAGGCCTCTTTACTCACCGCTTGCAGCAAAGCCCCAGGCGTCGCCTGCTGCTGTCCGGCTCCGGGGCCTGACCCCGCCGCTCCCAAAAGCAACTCATGCCGTGGCCGCTTGATCGGGACCAGCGGCAACTCCGGGCCTTTACGCTTCTGCTGTTCTATCATGGCGGTAACCAGGTCTCCTCGACGCCGCCAGTGACCGCGCCGACGGCCACCGGCTCCACGCGATTGGCTACAACTCAATCCTTCCAAGAGAATTTCCGGCTCAAACCAACCAATGGGCTATTTAAAATCCCCCTGCAACGCCCATCTGGATAATCTCGTACTATTGGTCAGTTATTTCTGACGTCACGAGAGAGCGGTTCCGCGATTGGTGGCTGGAGTTGGCGTCCCTCCTAGGCGCGCTGTGTCTTGTGGGTGGGAAAGAGCCGTGTGGGCTTGGCGTTCCGAGCTGCTTCTCGACTCCAGGGCTTGGAGCGGTCGCTGAGTCAGTGAGTGAGGGGGAAAGCGCGGCGGGGAGGTGGGTGCTCGGGCGTGGATGCCACGGCTCCGTGGTGTAGCCCGAGCCTGTCGTTCTCAGGCCCTGTAGTTCTTCTCAGGCACTGTTCTGAAGGCCGGGACAGCAAGGAGCGGGAGACCGGCCCCTTCGCTTCCAGCTCGGCCCGCGGTCCGGAAGAGAGTTTTGGGGGTCTCCGACCCCGCGGCTGCTGGCCCTTGCGGGACCGGTGCCTCTCTTCAGCAGCCGCCCTCCATACCCAGTCCGGTGCCTGGCGTTCGCAGGGAGACAAGCCGCCCCCCCCCCAGTCCCCCACCAGCCCCTTTAGGTGCTGCGTTTAGTTGAAGAGGCCCGCCGGATTCTGTCCCCTAATACTGCTTTCTAATATCTTTTATTAGGGCCTCATCTGTGCTCCCCCACCGTCCCAGAGAAACAGTGATAGAGCAGAATGATTGGCTGATCCAGGGCATAGTGTGGCTGAGAAATTGAAGGCTCATACTTGTGTACCAAGCCTTCACTCTTCCAGTCTTCCACCTACTATTTATTGTGCAGAGTGAAGAGGGGACCTGTTGGGAACCCCTACCTCCATCTCAGCGGATTCGTGGTTGGTCATGGGCCTGGGCGCTGTCCCTCAGCTCTTCAGCTCAAGGCTAGCACTCTACCACAACGCCACTCCTGGCTTTTTCTGCTTATGTGGTGCTGAGGAATCGAACCCAGGGCCTCATGCATGCAAGGCAAGCACTCTACCACTGAGCCACCTTCCTAGACCATCATGTCAATTTTGATAATTAAATGAGTTATTGAATGTTTGTTGTTTAGCATAGTAGCTACACATAGTAAGTGTAAATGTTAATTCTTAGTAATATTGTTTGAGATCCAGGCACACATACTCCCCACACTTCCGGAAGTGTATCCCCGGTAAAAGAGTAGCAACAGCAGCAATATAAAGAGCCAAAAACTAGCCAGGAGTGGTAGCACATGCTTGTAGTACCAGCTATTTACCCAGGAAGCTGAGGCAGAAGGATTGTTTGAGCCCATTAATTAGTGGAAGAGCAGGGCCAGCTAGGGCAGTGTAGTTAGATCCATCTCAAAAAACAAAACATAACAAAACAACAACAAAAAACCCCAATAGTCTAATAGCTTTGGATCAGTAATAAATTGAAAAGAAATGAGATCAAGGTATCTAAAACTGAGTTGGGAGTATGTTCAAGTGGTAACAGCATCCTGAGTTCATACTCCAGTAACAACAAAGGTTTCCAAAACTCCCTAGGTTTAGAATGACAAAAGGGATTTTGATGAAAGTATGAGATAGTCAATCTAATGGTATAATTTTGTACAACTTAACTGTAGACTTTTCCTTTTTTTTTTTGGTGGTTATGGGGCTTACCTTAGGGCTTTAGGCAGCATGCTAGGCTAGGGCTCAGTCTCTGAGCTACTTCCAAAATCCCATTCATTTCTCCTCTAGTACAGATGTCTCTCTAATTGTTGCTTATGTTTTTTGTGGCAGGACACTAATATTAGCTTTTGCAGAAGAGAAATGGAGGAGCCATAGAACCTTAAGGATGAATTCAGGGAGACCTGAGACCATGGAAAACTTGCCTGCACTCTACACGATTTTCCAAGGAGAGGTATATTATTTTGGTCTTTGAAAACATCTTATTTATAGGCTATTAAGAATAGGTAGAAGGTAAAGGAAAAGAAAAAGGGAAGAAAAGAAAAAAGAATAGATTGAGAGTACAAAGCATCTGGGTTTAATCCTGCTGTCCAATCTGAGACTTGAGCATTATAATGTAAATTGTATGGACCAGCAGAGCCTCTATCTGATGATGCACTAAGCTGTAGACACCTAACTGCATACTTGTCATCTTCATTTGTCTGTTTCATAGCATCTCTAACTTACCTTTGAAACCGATTTCTTAAATGTTTTCACTAGTCATTTCTATTTTAGCAATTGGAACTTTTATCCTTGATTCAAGTACCCAAGCTAGAAATCTGTGCCTTTTTTTTTTTTTGCCAGTCCTGAGTCTTGACCTCAGTTCCTGGGCTGGGCATTTTCCTTGAGCTTTGTGCTGAAAGCTAGTGCTTTTATCTCAGCCTCCTGAATAGCTAGGATGACAGGTGTGAGCCACTGGTGCTCTGATGGTTTTGATTCTTAATACTATAGTTCATCCATCCATCCATAAAATTGATTGGCACCCTCTTTGTCTCAGCTCTTCATACTCTCATTTTACTTGAATACAAGCTCTTTTTTTTTTTTTTTGGGTCGGTCATGGGGCCTTGAGCTCTGGGCCTGAACGCTGTCCCTCAGCTCTTCAGCTCAAGGCTAGTGCTCTACCACTTGAGCCACTGTACCACTTCTGGTTTTCTGAGTGGTTTATTGGGGATAAGAGTCTCATGGACTTTCCTGCCCGGCTGGCTTTGAACCACAATCCTCAGATCTCAGCCTCCTGAATAGCTAGGATTACAGGCATGAGCCATTGGCACCTGGCTTACAAACTCATTTTATGAGCCTTCCATTACTTTGCCTCTACTTACTTTTACAGTTGTCTTTCTACCTTGCTCATGCTCCAGACATGCTAGCTTCTTTAGAACTCTACACATTCTAGGTTGGCTTTTTTTCCCCCCCTAGGACCTTTGGATATTCTGTTTGGCTTAGTCCATTTATGCTATATAACAAAATTTCTAGATTAGGTAGATTATAAGAACAAAACCTTATGTCTCATACTTTGGAGGCTGGGAAGTCCAGAACCAGGATGCTAACAGATTTGGTATGTGGTAGGGGCTGCTCTCTGCTTCTCTGACTTGCCTATTGCTACATCTTCTAGAAGATAAACGCTGGGTCCTCACTTGGCAGAGGGATGAATTTGCCTCCCCAAGCCCTTAATAAGGCACTGATTAATTCACATGGGCAGAGTCTCATGATCCTGTGGCCTCCTATTGTGGTTAATAGCTGAAATGTCCCCTAAAAGCTTCTGTGTTGAGGCTTGATTCCCAGGGCATCAATATTCAAGGCAGGGCTTTAGGAAGTGATAGGTTCATAATTTGATGAGTTAGAAACTTAGGAGGTGGGACCCAGCTGAAAGGAATGGTTCCTTTGGGGGATGCCCTTGAGAACTATATATTGCCCCTGGCCCCTTTCTTTCTGTCTTTGCTTCCCAGCTCTATGAGGTAAACAGCTATGTTTTACCACATGCTCCTGCCAAGATGCTGGCCCTGCCAAATGTTCAAAGTGAACTGGCCAAATAACCATGGAGACAGGAAAAAGAAATTTTTTCTTCCTTTAAGTTGCTTATCTCAGGTGTTTTGTTCAGGCAGTGGGAAGCTAACTGAATACATCTCCTAAAAGCCCTTCCTCTTAAATCTGTTGATTAAGGACCAAGTTTCAGTGTAAATTTGGGAGTACAGCCATCCTAACTACCTTGTAAATGAGGTCACTGTCTTAAAAAGGGAGTCAGGGAGTTGCCTGGCCCATCTCTCCCTTTCACCTAGTGAGGATATGACATTCCTTCCTTCTGAAAGATGCAGCAACAAGGAGCCATTTTGGAAGCAGAGTGTGGGTACCCTTATCAGACTTGATTGGAAATTTCCTAGCCTCCAAAAATGGGAGAAAAATATTTCTCTCTTTTTTTGTTCCTTTCTGTCTCTGTCTCTTTTTGGTTAGTACTGGGATTTGAACTCATGTTTTTATGTTTGCTAGGTAGGTCACTTTTGTTTTTCTACTACTGTGTCACATTTATTTGTGGGGTAGCCTGGACCACAATTCTCCTGTTTATTTTTTCCCCACATAGTTGGTAAAATAGGCACACACCACTGTACTAGACTTTCATTGGTTGAGATGAGGTCTTTTGAACTTTTTGCCTGGACTGGCCTTGGACCACAATCTTCCTGATCCTTGCCTCGTTAGTAGCTACGATTTCAGAGTAAGCAACCATATCCAGTGAGAAATAAATTTCTATGATAAATTATCTAGATTTTTTAAATAGGGATAGGAATCAACTAAGGCACTTGTTCCTCTAGTCACCAGAAAGTGAGGACCAGAAACATGAAAAAGTGAGGATCAAAGAAGTTGATTGTTCCGGGTGCCAGATGCCAGGTGCCAGTGGCTCACGCCTATACTCCTAGCTGCTCAGGAGGCTGAGATCTGAGGATTGCTGTTCAAAGCCAACCTGGGCAGGAAAGTCCGTGAGACTCTTATCTCCAATAAACCACTAGAAAATCGGAGTTGGTGCTGTGGCTCAAGCAGTAGAGTGCTCACCTTGAGCTGAAGAGCACAGGGACAGCACCCAAGCCCAGAGTTCAGGCGCCATGACTGACCAAAAAAAAAAAAAAAAAAGTTGATTGCATTCAGATATGAGTGAATATATAAATTTACAGTTGGTGCTCTAGTGGCTGATGCGTATAATCCAAGCTATTCTGGAGGCTTGAAATCTGAAAATCTTGGTCTGGAGCCAGTCTGGGCAGACAAATCCAAGAGTCTCTTCTCTCTGATTGACCCAGCAAAAAGTGGTAGTGTGTCAACCATAAGTGAAAAAAGCAAGCAAGAATATAAGATACTGAGTTCAGGCCCCAGTACTATTAGGAAAAAAAAGTTTCTGCCCTATGCCTGGCTATACCGCTTTCTTTTTTATTCTATCTCTCTGTTTGTCTACCTATCTACGTATCTATCTCATGAGGTAGGGTCTCACTGGCCTTAAGTTTGTGATCCTTCTGTCTCAGCCTCCTGAGTACTGAGATTATA